CCCTTTCAATTTCATTGAAGAGTGAGAAGAGAAGGCATTAAGTCTTCCCTAAATTTCTTGTAAAACTCAGCTATGCATCCACTGGAACCTGGGCTTTTCTTTGCTGGTAGCTTTTTAAAATTATATTTTTAATTTCATTTCCTCTTGCTGGGTTAATCAGAGTTTTTAAGTCTTCACTCAGGTTTGGCATTCATATGTATCTAGAGAACTGTACATGTTTTCTGTTTATAGTAGTAAACATCCTATTATAGTAATATCTTTGCAAGTAGATATTGACTATCTTCTGAATTTCTATAGGGTCTGTAGTGATTTCTCCCTTTTCATTCTTTATTGCATGAATTTAAGTTTTTCTTTCTTTTTATTGATAAGGCTGACTATGGGTTTATTAATTTTATTTACTCTTTCATAAAACCTATTCATTGATTCTTTAATTCTTTGTATTATTTTCTCTGTCTCCATTGCATTTATTTCTTCTCTGAGCTTTATTATTTTGTGCCTTGTTTGAGCTTTGGGCTTGATTTACTCTTCTTTCCTAGGAGCTTGAGGTGCAGCAAAAGATCCATTATATGGGCTTGTTATGTTTTCCCATTGTTGGAATTTACTGCTATAAATTTCCCTCTGATGACAGATTTCATTGTATCCCATAGGTTCCAGTAAGTTGTATCTTCATTTTCATTCCATTGTAAATATTATTTAATTTCTTCTTTAATTTTATCTGTGATTCCCTGATTGTTCAGGAGTTTGTTATTTAAGTTCCATGTTTTTATGGTGTGTTGTGCTTTCTTTTGTCACTATTTTTTCAGTTTCATTATACTATGGTCAGATAGTATGCGTGGTATATTTTCTATTCCTTTGTTTTTACTTGAGCATGTTCGCTGTGCTAGTATATGGTCTATTTTGGAGAGTATCATTTGTACAGCTGAGAAGAATGTGTCCTGACACTGCTGGGTGGAAAACTCTGTAAAGGTCTACCATGTCAATTTCCTTACAAGTTTGGTTTAGTCCTGTTACTTTCCTGATTTTTTTTTTGCCTATTTGATGTATCTCTTTGTGACAGTGTGGTGCTAACCAGCCCCTATTATAATTGTGTTATTGCTTATTTGATTTTTTATGTCTGTCAAAAATTGTCTTATGTAGTTGGGTGCTCCTACACATGGTGAGTATATGTTTATGATTGTCATGATGTACATTTCTTTCAACAAAAAACCTTCTTTTTGTAAGTGTACATCATGTTTATAATATTAATTAGGGCTGAGGAGAAAGCTGAGGGGCATAAGCACCTGCCTGGCAAGCACAAGGTCCTGAGTTTGATCACTGATACAAAAACAATTCCCTTTGGGAATTAGAACCAAAGAATGTTAATTCATATATTATTTTAGTATGTTAACATTCTGCAGTGTGTATTATATTGAATAGGTTGTGTTTTGGAAAAGTTAGAGAATTTTGCACCTTTTTAGTCATGAGAGAATGATACATTTTTGCCCCTGAAATAGTAAAGTAGTACAGAGAAAAATCACAGGTGCTTAGTCTGGTGATATTTTGTAAACTCTCTTCACCTCCTTCTAGTTCATTGAGGCAGCTTAAATATTTACTCATTCTCTCTTCTCAATGAATGAGCACTATTTCCGTACTTCTAGTTTTCCAGGATACCATCATTGTCTAAAATCTTATTCAGCACCATTAATTTGATAAATATTTGCCATTCAATTCCCTAAGCACATCAGCCTATTTTAATTAAAACTTTTTTTAGGTCTGGTTGATGGGATAAATAAGGGAGTGCCACGTTTTATATGAGGTTTTATTTTCTCTTAAAGAAAACTACCCAAATAGAATATGATATTTCTTTTCTATTTTAATATCATCTAGACTTAAGAGCATCCTGTTATTAGCTAAAATTATAAAATGTTTTAGTAAAATGCAACAGTATGCAGATGTAAGTGAATGAGGGATATAGGAATCCTTCATTTTTACAATGTAGTGTGTTCATAGTAACACAGTTTCACTCTCGGGCATCAGAATCCATGTGGAGAATGTGTAAAAGGTGGCTTGAGAACAAAGAGCGGCAAAGTTTAACATGTGGAAGTTAATATAAAGGGATTACTGTATCACAAAAATTTTGAACTTTATATACTAAAACTGAGCAGGTCCTAACACATTAGCTGTAGAAATCCACCATCTTTATACACATACATTATAGGAGCACAAGGATTAACATATCAGAGCATAGAAACCATCACTTCTTTTTCCTTGGGGAAGTACTGCAATTCAGGCACTGTGCCATGGAGTTGTATCACTAGCCCCATAAATTCTTTTCTAAGGTGTTTTCCTAGAACAAAACAAACTCTAATCCCATAATCTTTTTGCTAAATGCTAAAGTGAAATATCAAGGAAAAAGATGAAAAATAGAAACAAAATTAGAACAGAAAATAATGGATGTGAAGTTATATTCAAAGGTTTTAACATATGGTGGATTTTCAAGAGAAAAGACCATAAGACAGATCAATATTTAGGAGAAAAAAGCAGAAATATTTATCTCAAATTAGTGTATGGTAAATAATCAGGACTTTGTGTCTTTTTGACATTTTCATTTTGAGTCATGGAGGGAAGAAAATCCTACCTAAAGATACTATTCTTAAAGAATCATCTGATGCTTTTAACTAAAGAATGACAGATAATTTACACGTGTATTTCTAAAGAATATAAAGAGAGAGATTATTTCTTAGAGATTATTTCTGAGTCAATCATAGTGTATATTCCAAACTAGGAAGAGAAGATCAAAGAAAATAAGACCGTTATGAACCCATAACTGTGTTTTTTTAATTGAAAAGTTTTTTATTTTATTTTATTTGAACCCATAACTTTGATTACAAAATCAAAACAAAAAATTTACAAATCTAACCTGCTGATATATATACACAGAAGCATTCTATTATTTTTTGAACATAAATTTGAGTATTAAATTATTTTACATGAAAACATCACAGATAATAATTCACTATATTAACATAAAAAAGAAAAATATAATTTATAACCTAACAATAATTTACAATTGTTAATCATAATCTAGGTTTTTAAGAAAAATGTTTGGCTAAATTCATGTCAATAATCTATTATGTTGAAGATAGAAAATAATTTCCTTGCTTTGTTTTAAAAACTGTGATAAACATCAATTTTAGTTATAAAAGATCCATTTTCCTAGAGACAGAAAAAAGGGAAATTTACTAAAGATCTGGATGATATAATTGGATGAGGACAACAGAGAGACTAGAATGAAGAGGAAAATCTTTCTTATTTACAGATAGTATTTGTGAAGCACTAGCAAAATACTCTAATAACAAGTCATGAGAACCAAAAAGTTAACTCATAAGGCTATGTACATAAATTTCTCTTCAAAACACAGCAACAATTAACAGAAACAAAAATATAAAGCATAAATATGTACAGGCATGAACATTTCAGTATAAGAAACCGATGAAAGGTTCGCAAGAAGTCTACACTTCAGATTTTAAAGATGGTTGAGAGAAATTTAAGATAATAAATTCAATCAAGGGATCTTCTGTGTGAATTAGAACACTTATTTTAATATGGTTGTTAACTCCAAATTGTCTCATTAATTCAGCTTAAGATTTGGTAGAAATTAAATACTTTAGCTAAATTTGAAAGTAGAAATAAATGCAAATGCTAAAAATGGCCACACCTATTTGAAGTAAAAGAGCTTTTAAACTATCGGGATGAAGCTAACCTATAACAAATCCTCACATAAAATTTTAGAAATTAAAGAAAATATTGGCTTAAGGAAAGGGTGGAAAAATATTGTCCAGTGGAACTGAACAAAAAGACTCCAAACAATCTCAGATAGATACATTACATTGTATGACACAAACATGTTGCAGGGATGGGCTTTATCGAGCAATTAATTCTGAGTGAAGTGTATTATTGTATCGATATATTCCTTGATGATCCACAAAAATAAATTCTACATAGGTTCTATATCCAAATATAAAGTTATTTCACAAAACTATCAATAATTTCACAGAATAATTGTAACTGATTATATTAGCAAATATGACAGTTATTTATTAGCCCCACATTCAAATAGTGTTCCTGGTCTCTGCAAGAATGGAAAAAGACAATATGCACATTTTTTACTTGTAGAAGTAGCATGATATTTATCATGGCCAGTAGAGGACCACTTTATTAGTCCAAGCCATGATTTTTCTGTCCATCTCAACGTCAAAAATAGCAATTTATGTCCGTACAAACTATTTCTCTGCTGGACAGCTTCAGCACACCTACATCATGAACAATAAAAAATATTGAAAACGTGCTAACCTACAAATATTTTCTTCAAAGAATTAGTGCTATTTCCATTTTTATAGCCAAATATACTAGACTGACCTGATTGAGACTTAGAAAGCTAAACAGCGAGGGCATGTCCTCTTGAATTCATGTTCCATCTCAAGAGCTAGCAATAGGGTGTCATTAAAGATGTTTCTTTTGCCCTCCCTCCATGTCACAGGATTGCTGGAAGTGTCTCAATACAGAGATCTCTGAGAAATACCACTTAAAGGTGAAGTTTACTGCACACTATATTTAAAATAGAGAATCATTGCAAAGAGAGAAGAATGGAATCAGATAAGATTGGCCAGAGAACTGGAACTGCAAATCAGGTCTGAGGATAGTCTTGTTCAACCTCACAGGAAATTCAGAAACTAAAATTTTCAGCTCAAGTTGTCTTCACTGGGCTGAGAGCATGAGGCTTCTGTGGCCTTGTCACCCATTCTCCCTGAATGGATGATGGTTTTAGAAAAATCACATTGCCCCAAGTGAAGCAATCCTTCAAGTTATTAGGAATTAAAGCCCTCTACAGGAAGTACTTCCAGTTGCTATGACTCCTTCTGGGAGGTAGGATCTGGGTAGTGTACCTTCAGGCTCATCATGCCCACGGCAGAGTACCTTCTGTTTCAGGTTTGTTTTCAGTGGGAGAATAAGCAAGTTCCTTAAAACCTCCTGGCAAGCCGGAACGTGCGCAGAATCCCTACGCGAATCTGCTTGGTCCTGACACTGTAGACCACAGGGTTCAGCACCGGGGGGAGAAGCAGGTAGACGTCAGCCATGAGGACATGCGCTATTGGAGGCAGTTGTTTCCCAAAGCGATGGACCATTGACACCCCAATCACCGGGACAAAGAAGATGAGCACCACACAGATATGGGATACACACGTGTTGAGTGCTTTCAGCCGCTCTTTGCGAGAGGCAATGCCAAGCACGGCATTCAGAATCAGAGCGTAGGAAAGAAGTATGAAGACTGAATCCAGACCGAGAGTGACAATGACGACGCACAGCCCATAAATGCTGTTGATCTTGGCATCTGAGCAGGACAGCTTCAGAACGTCTTGGTGCAAGCAGAAGGCGTGGGAGAGCACATTGCTGTGGCACTAGTGATAGCGTCTCAGGAGCAAGGGTGTGGGCAGGACAACCCCCATGCTTCGGGACACGCAGGCCAAACCAATCTTCCCAATGACACCGTTGGTGAGGATGGTAGAGTAGTGCAGCGGACGACAGATGGCAACAAAGCGGTCAAAGGCCATAGCCAGCAGCACCGACGACTCCAGAAACGTGAATGTGTGGATGAAGAAGAGCTGGACGTAACAAGCACTTGCCTGAATTTCCCGAACATTGAACCACAGCACAGCAAGCACTGTGGGAACAGTGGACAGGGACATGCCCAGGTCGGTCACTGCCAGGATGGACAGGAAGTAATACATGGGCTGATGGAGTGATGCCTCCAGCCAAATGACGGAGAGGATGGTGACATTACCAGTCACTGCTACCAAATATGCAAGACAGAGTGGGATCGAGAGCGAGGAATGAGCATGCTCCAGTCCAGGAAAACCCTTTAAGAAGAATGTGGGCTCCATAGCATCACTGTTATTCCACATCACCATGGTAACCCTTGGTTTACATGGCACATTGTGAAGAATGTTCGCTGCTATTTTCCTTATCCTTCAAAGTTATCTTTTGTGAGTAGAATCGAGGCATATTTAAGAACAGTACAACTTCATATTTCTTCTAAACTCACATGAAAAGAGAGGAAGAACCTAGGGAATTTTATATAAGAAGTATTTTCCAAAATTAATGTGCACCAAATTCAGTAATAAAAGTGTGTGCCACATAAAATGGTCTGTCTGACAACAAATTTCTTGATTTTCATTGAAGACACTAAAAACAGCAAGGAGTTTTTCAATGTATAATGAACATTATCAACTATGCTTTATATGCTACATATTAAATATCTATTCTTGTTCATCCCACTTAACTTCAAATTTGTCCTCTTTGACCAATTTCTGTCCACTTCACTGTTCCTATGTAAACTTTTTCCTTTTTAACCTCTCACTTCTCCATCTATTTTTCATGTTTTCTCAGACCCTTTCTCAGTGTTGTTTCAATTAGTTGTACTCTTTTCATAGATCACTGTAAATTTTTTATTTTGGTTCTTTATTAATTTTCATGCAATTTAAATTCTTTGACGTTGAAAGAAATATAATAGGAAAGGATTGAAAATGACAAGGCCAGGCTTAAACAGTGAATGCATAACAAGGCTCAAAGCACTGATTTATGTATTTCAGCTACTTTAGGAAAAATAGTAGGGTTCACATGATTTTCTGACGTCCTCTCCATTATCTCCATTTATACTAGAATTGTTTTCCACCAATCACTTTGTCTCAAATTTGCTGAAAAATATTGAAGCAGAATACTATATGCCATGCTTTTCAAATTTTTCGTGAAAGTTGACACTACTTTTCTCTTCTTGAAAAAAGTTTACATTGTCCTCGTAATTTCCCTCTTTGTTGCTATGTGTTAATATAGACTACACTAAAGTCTAATATTTATTTACAATTGAAAATGAAGATTTACCTCACATATATGTGTGACAGATGTGCACCATGATTCCTCTGCTTGCAATTAAGCAACATATTTTTCAGATAACTCAAGTTACAATTCATCATTTTCTGACTCCAATTATCTCCATTATAGATAGCCATATTTTTTATTCATACCTCTGCCACTCACTCTTTTTCTCTTTCTTTTCTTTTCTTTCTTTCTTTTTTCTTTCTCTTTATACACTATTAGATCTTGCTGTCTGTGGTTTATCTGCCATTGAGAAGAATTACATGATGACAGATGCTATAATTTTCCATGCTCAACGGACTGCTGGTCTTTCACAGCCCTAACTCTGTGAATAGTGTGTTTTAAATGCTGCCACTATATCCAAGAATAGATCTCATTACTCAGGGGTAACACATTAGAGATTGGAACCAAACTCTGGTGAATCCTTAGAGATGAAGCAACACTAAGCAGCCCTCAACCCCAGTATAACAAGAGCATATGTCAGGAGGCCTGGAAATAAAAGAAATGCATTCCAAGCCAATCTATGCTTCTCAGTCCTCTCAAATATATTTTCTTTTTTTTCAAATGAGCATAAAAGTGTAAATTCATGATGACCTCTCCAATTCAGGTGGTCCTAAAGTCAGTCCTCATTAGAGGCTGGCTATAGACCGATGATAATGAATCACAATGACAGGATTTCCACTATAAGAAGTTCACCATTTCCTACTGAATGATATTATTAGCCATGTGTCTAGCAACTGGTTTTAAGAAGCAACAAGGTTTAAGGATTTTTACTAAAAATGACTGCCGTACAACATTTGGAGTGCCACATGCCAACACATTATTTTCTTTATACTTTGGCTTCCTAAGTTGTTTATTTGGGCACTGTAGAGTGAATTTACCACTTGACTTCTAGTATAATCTATATTGCTTGCACTGCATAAAAATGTATATTTTTCCTGTAATTACAGCAATTCCTTGGTTCGTGAATGCTTCTGTTTTCAAATAATTCAACTCTCAAATAAAAATATTCTGAAAAATTGTGCTTTCCTTGTGACAAATGACCCTAGTGATCTTCCCCACAAAACAGAGATCTATCATTGCATAATTGTAAAAGAAACTGCATAAACCAAGGTACAACTGTGATTGAACTTTTAAAATGAAATCTAGGATTTTATCCTCAAAATAAAGATACATATTGGGAATTTTATTTGTGATGTATTTTGGGAAAAGTGAAACACATAGGATGTAAGTGATGGAAATACAAGAATGTGAAATTCAATGAATTAGGTCATTAATATTTGTCAATATTATTTTATATTTTTATATTAACAGAAGAAACATACTACAATGTATTTTCCTAAACATTAGAAAATAATTTACATCACTGTTAATAGCCTGATGAAGTATCTTTTTCTAAATTTAGATCAGATATATAAAGTCAATTTATATTAGTTTTTTTAAAAAAAAAACAACAACACTAAACTTACTTTTATTTCTAATAAATAATTCTAGTTCCTATAGGCCTTAATGTTTACTTAATCACACCACTACTAATAAGGTCAGCTTATTTTTGACTTATTGTTGAGCATATCTTCTGGTTGCTTTATTGCACTAGATAAATTCCATAGAGTAAAATACCTAGATTGAAATGCAGGGATTTGGAGAAATGTAGATTTCACTGGAATCTTTTCAGAACAGCAAGGTGGTTTCATATTTTATTTTAAAAACTGAAAACGCTGAGACAATCAGCTCTCCTCCTACCCTGGTCCTGTCTGAGGATGTACTATTGCCCTCCTCACTGGGCCCGTAGATTTTGGATTCCTTGTTTGGAAAGTTCAGTTGTTGACTAAGACTGCTCCCGGGAAAGCAGGAATAACTTTAAATTAAAATTTATGGTCAAGTAAAAAAAGATAATTGTAAACTTCATCTACTGCACATATGGATGAATTTTAGAAAAGGCTATTTCATCATTACTGTTATATTTATTTTTTCTCACATTTAATTTTTTATTTTGATTTTTTAATGCTACACAACTCAATATTTTATTTCATTGGTTTCATTAATTTTTTTATTTCTGTTTGCTGCTGTTATTTTATTTGCTGAAAGTGAGGGGGAACTTTTGTGGCCTTTTTCTGTAGGCTGCCTTAAGCTGTCTAAATTTGGAACATCTAAGCCAGCAGAAGAGGAAAGGGGGCTTCACAAAAATCACTCTGGGGAAAGAAAAGGTTGCTTTGTTAATCATACCCTGTGGTGGGTGATTAACTGCTCGTACAATTATATTTCACTTTTAATTAATTGTGCGTAAGGCTCTCATTAAGGTTGAAATTTCAAACTTAGAGCAGCTTGTAGAGAGGAAGGTGCATGTGCTGAATGATGCCCTTTGAGCACACGGCGGACATTCTCAGTGTCCACAGTGCAGGTAAAGTGAAGGTAGCATTAGTGGTGCCCATATCCACTAGCACTGCTGATTCTCAGTAACTCATCTCTAATGAAGTACTTGATATAAAAAGTTATTTCTTGTTCAGTGGGCCACAGAAATCTGATACAAGCTGCAGAAGTTAGACGGGTTTGCAGGAATGAATTTGTACTGTATCCTTGGAAACCTGTTGATGTTATTATTGGTCTATGTATGTTTACTTGTTTCTTTGGCTTCGTCTCATCCATTTAAAGCTATTCTGCCTAACCAAGATAAAAAGTGCCTGGTGTCTATTGAGGACCTTTAGATAGAACCTCTGGAGAGTATCTCTGTCTTTTTTTTTTTTTTTTCAGAA